GCAACGCTCTCTCTAACAATTATAATCATGTGTGTTTATATATATATATATATATATATATATATATATATATATATATATATATAGATAGATAGAGTTACTGAAGAAGGTAAATCATACCCGAATTGTCTTTATTACAACTGGCAATATTTATTTTTCATATAATCCTGAGGAAGTTCTCAGCACATCCATTAAAACTACGAAACCCACAAAAGGAAGCAATTCTGGTCACAAATCTTCAAAATCGATCCAAGATTACAGTCATCTATCACAAGTCCATAAGGACACTGTATAAAAAACACTGGAAATAAAAAATTATTTCCAGTTTGTTTGTGTAAATGTACATGTCCACACTAAGACATGAGAGGTCCATGTTAGTACGATCCATGTGTATTACAGCTCTGTTGCAGGTCCCCATTCAATGTCATCAGTTTCATCATCATCTACACTAAAATAATCATCTCTGTCGTCTTCATCGCTGTCACTGTCGCTTCCTCTGATCTGTGTTCTTCGCATTTGCATGGCTTCGTGATGTGCCAGTCTAAAAGAAAAGATTTATAAATACATTTAAAAATGAAAAACAAATGCATTTAGTACTTTATTCTTCTGAGCTAAACTTGACAGACCATGCATAAAGACTTACACTATAAATGAAGGGGAGGGTTTCCTTTCTGGTTCTGCCATACGGGCCTGAAACAATAAAACACATGGGAATGTGTTTCACATCAATTTCTACATCAAGTATTTAAGAAATATTTAATATCGAATGCATCCAAACATCTTAACATGACTTAGTCAAGTAGAGCATGTTTCTGGATCACCATCCTTGTTGGTCTTAGAACAACACCACTATCAACCAATCAAAATTTAGGGTCAAGGTTACATTTACCTCTGGGATTAATAATGTGAAGAACAGGGGCTTTTAGGGGCAGGTTATGGTTAGGGTAAGGGAAAGGGGTTGGTCCTAATATGTATTTCAATCCAGGAACATGCCCTACTTGACTAAATCATGCCATACTACTCAGTGTAAATCAGTGGATCTGCCAATCAATCAGATATTAGGGTCAGGGTTAGGATTACCTTTGGGATTAGGGGCATGAAGAACACTGCCGACCATAATTTTCCTCTTCTTGTAGAGGTAGGTTATGGTTAGGGTAAGGGTTTAGCCTTTTGGTCTGTCCCAATACCCACACATGCATGATTTATTTTGTGTATTTGGCCCAGACTTTCAAATGGCTGTGAATGCCACAGAACTTTTGATTACCTGATGGGACACACTTACAACATAGTGTTGTAAGATTGCAATTACTTGTACTTTACTAGTAAACTTCTACGACTAGTAACATTTTTCAGACATGGGACAGTCATGTGCACTTCAAGTAGCCAAGACCACAAGTGTGAGTATTAGGAAAGGTCCTTTGCCGGAACTACTAAGGATGTAGATCCAGGAATCTGTCCTACTTGACTTAACGATGTTGTGATACTCAAACTTAAATTAAGGTTGAATCATCAAATTATCAGATTTTAGGATCAAGGTTAGGGTTTCCTTGGGATTAGAGGCATGAAGAACATTATCAATTTATTTCCCTCTGCTTTAAAGGTAGGTTGTGGTTAGGGTAAGTCTTTGTTGGCCAAGGGTGTTGATCAAGGAACATGTCCTATACTTGAATTAATAATGCTGTGCTATTCAGTCTGTAATTTGGTGGATCTATCAACCAGTCAGATTTTAGGGTCATGATTATGTTAAACTCTGGGATCACTGGGATGAAGAACATTATTGACTTACCAGTTTCCTCTGATTTTAAAGGTAGGTTAAGATTAGGGTAAGTTTAGTCTTTGTTGGTCCTAATAGGGATGTTGATCCAGGAGAATGTACTACTTAATAATGTTGTGCTCCTCAAATTTGAATTAAGGTGGATTCATCAACTAATCAGATTTTAGGGTCAAGGTTAGGGTTACCTTGCAATTAGTGGATTGAAGAACATTATCAACTTCAATCATTTCCCTCTGTTTTTTAAGGTAGGTTATGGTTAGTGTAAGTTGTCCTTTGTTGATCCTACTAAGGATATCGATCCAGGAACATGTACTGCTTGAATAAATTATGCTGTACTACTCAAACCGTGTGGATCTACCAATCAATCAGATTTTAGGGTCAGGGTTAGGGTCACATCTGGGATCTCTGGTGTATAGAACATTTTCAACTTATCATTTCCCTCTGTTTTTAAAAGGTTGGTTATGGTAAGTTTTGTCCCACTAAGGATCAGAGATGGGCAGCTTCGGTCCTGGCAGTCTTATAGTCCACTGTCTTGCAGAGTTTAGCTCAAACCCTAATCAAACACACCTGAACAAGCCAATCAATGTCTTCAAGATCACTAAAAAAACTACAGGCATGTGTGTTTGATTAAAGTTGGAACTAAACTCTGTTGGAAAGGGTCCCTCCAGGATTGAAGTTGCCTATCCCTGATGTAGATCCACGAACATGTCCTAATTGACTAAATCATGTTGTGTCTGATTGCTCGATAGGCCAGTCGCATGGGAAATAGGTATATATGGTACCTGTTGTAGTTTCTCTTCTATGGCTGACAGTGGAGGGGTCTCTGATTGGACTTCTTTGGGATCTGGTGCCCTAAAGTTGGGCGGAACATCTGAAGGTGCTGGTGGTGCAGCCAAGTCACCAGCGCTAAAGTCTGAATCTGAGAAACTCCGCTGTGATGGGACATCGTCTTGTTGTTGGGGACTGCCAGGGACGAAGCGTGGAGATCGGGGCTCTGGAACATGGAGGATGGGAGGTATTTCCCCGGGAGTTAGGGTGTACTCAGGCTCTTCCTCCAAGTATGGCTCTGGGTCATAGGAAGGTTCAGGACTATGAATCTGTCCAGTGGCAGGCTCCGAGGAGCGGGCCAGTGCAGTGCCGCGGTTTCTGGCGATGCCTACAGAGGGCTCTTCCAGGTCCTCGTTGTCTGTGTAGGCTTCACCATCCGTAATTGCCTCACCGTCGGTGTCCTCATAGTCGCTGGCACCACTGAGGTAGTCAGAGTTATTTTCACGGTTGAATGCGTCAAGGTCTTCATCGCCGCCTCCCTCCAACTGGACATACACCAAGTACTTGTTAACCAACACAAATATGAAATGCAGGCTCTAAACCAATTCTACATTCACATCTTGTTGGAATTATCATAATCAAG